TGCTCCGCCTTCATGCGCGATCAGTTCCGGCTGAACCAGTCGCGCCAGGTGCGCATCAGCATCCTGCAGAGCGCCGAGGTGGGCAGGAAGCTGCTGCTCTCCTGCTACACGGGCGCGCTGGAGGTCAAGAGGAAGGAGCTGCTCAAGTACCTGACGGCCGCCAGCTACCTGCAGATGGTGCACATCGTGGAGAAGTGCACCGAGGCGCTCTCCAAGTACCTGGAAATCGACGCGTCCATGGAGAGCAGCGAGCGGGACACCGAGCGGTGCCATTCTTCAGACGCCGAGCTGAGGAGCGGGGATGATGCTCTAGACAAGGACTGCGAAATTATTGAGATCGCCGAAGACAGCCCAGTTAACATAGAGTACGCCGTGAAACAAGAGAAGGGGGATGTCTCACGGCCTGTGGTGCAGAGCGTAATGTCAGAAAGAAAGGAGGCCAAATCCCCAGAAATAGCAACGGTTGAAATAGGTTATAAGGATGATGAAATCTGTATCTTCAGAATGGATTCTGTGAGTGCAGCTAATGCAGAAAATGACCATTTTTCTCAGCCCTGCACTTCCTCAAAAAGCAGTTTATATTTTCCAGAAACCCAGCACTCTTTAATAAATTCTACAGTTGAAAGCAGAAATACAGAAATGGCAGGAAATCACCTTCAGGCTTTTGTCAATGATAACGCGGAAGGAAATTCAAGCGGGATGAACGGCTTTCAGAGTCTGGATGATCCTGGTAATTCATGGCGGCACCAATGCCCAAAGTGTCCAAGGGGGTTTCTGCATCTTGAGAACTATCTCAGACATCTGAAAATGCACAAACTCTTCCTGTGTTTGCAGTGTGGCAAAACATTTACTCAAAAAAAGAATCTCAACAGACACATCCGGGGGCACATGGGAATCCGCCCCTTCCAGTGCATGGTTTGCTTGAAGACATTTACTGCCAAAAGCACCCTCCAGGACCACCTGAACATACACAGCGGTGACCGGCCCTACAAGTGTCATTGCTGTGACATGGACTTCAAACACAAGTCTGCTCTTAAAAAGCACCTGACTTCTGTTCATGGAAGGAGTAGCAGCGAAAAAACAAACCTCAACAGTATTACAAAGGTGAAAATAGACTATGATTAATGGATTGGACAGACATGGAGCTAGGCTCTGCCAGACGCTCCTGTCTTGTGATATTCCAGATGCTCAACAGATCCACACCTTGCCATAGAGAAGCACAAATATGTGATGGGTGATCAGAGACAGGCCTTGCTAGTAGTAAACTTGCCTGTTGTATTAAGGCTGCTGGTGATGTAAGTGTTCAGAAGCTGTTTAGTAGTTCAAAGTAAATGACAAAATGTGAGAAATGATTTTATGCTTCTCTTCTAATATCCCTGATGTGGTATCTGTTCCATTTTTTGTTTTGTTTTGTTTTTTCCCCAATCAGGTTTTGCACTCCACTGTTTTGAGGGCAGGTGCTGCCAATTTTCAATGTATTGTTGATACTGCAATAAGCTGAAGCCTGAGCCACGATGTTCCTGATCCATAATGGCTAAGGAAGGGGGATGTTTATATTTATTCAATCACCTGTACCCATTTCATGTATCATGTCATGGTGAAATCAGCTCTGTACTGACCAAATTTTGCTGATTCTTTAAAAAAAAAAAGAAAGCATGTTGTCTTATTCAAGTCTGTGACATTGAAGAAGCAAACAAACTACAGTAAAGGAAGCTTTGAAATGGCCTTGTACAACCATAGAATTGGTAAAAGACAAAAGCAAATGTTATTGCTTTGCAATTCCTTTTTAACTGCATAGTCTCATTAGAAGGACTTGCATTCAGTTTTATGAATGAGTTGTGAATTTTTCTAAACTTCTTTCTTCTGATCACATTTCTCCTGCCATGCTGATGTTTAACACCCTCATTTGACTAATTCTGTTAGCCCTATTTACTGAGTTGTATTGTTACATTTGTCTTTTTTAAAATATATAAATTTTAGATATCCACACTAACACGAAAACTTGAACTGTGCACTGTTAAGTAATAGCATTTTCTCTATTCATTTTGAAAGTCATCCTTTATATCCTAAAAGGAAGAACTTGGACATAGTGGTTTTCTCATACTCTAATTCTCTGTGTGATGCAGTAAAACAGTACTGTGTGTGCTTGGGTAGGTATGTTTGTACTTTGTCAAGAGTCTTTTCAGTCTCATCACAAGCATCAAAAGCCCTGTAACTCCCAATTTTTATCTTGTATCTGTTTTTGACTGGTATATGTTATTTTGCTTAATGTGATACAAATGAATTGTCAGATCAGTTACTGTATGAGTAATGCTACTTACATTAGACTCTGTCCAACCAGCAGATGCAGTAGCTCTTCATCTTGTCTGTATCACGTACCTTGCCTCAATTTTCAGAAGTGCTCTTGTGAAGTTCTAGCTCTGAGCACTTGAGCTGCCGACGTCTGGGACTTGTGCTTCATATCTTTGCTGTTTTTAAAATATAAACCAACGGTTTTAATGTCAGTTAATGAGTTTAACTTCTTTACCATACATGTATCTGTGAGTGCATCAGGCATTATTGTTTTATTAATCAGCTCCTTGAAGGTTTGAGTAGGTACATAATATACTGTACTGTTCCCTATCATTAGCTGTAATAGGAATGATCAGTTCTGCTAGCGTTACTACTGTTTTATCTATTGGAAGCATCAATTGAAGAGTTTTAAGGATGGATTTTTAAGCTCTTCACTTGATATCATTCAGTATTTTATTAATAAATATGTATTATTTGGATTGAGGCAATATTTTTAGGTCCCAGTTCAGACTAGGGTTGGTTGTGTATGTAGTTAGTCCAGATAGACAAGTGGTACACTAGTGTTGTATTTCTTCAAAAATTTGCCAAAAAAAATGCTTGACTTTACAGGTACAATTGACTTCTGAAAGATTCTTTCATGGTGCTGATTCATCGGAAAGGTGTGCTTGCAGAGTCTGCATACCAGTGTGCCCCTACGAGCAGTGACAAAAATGACACACCCAGGCTAGTGGGTAGTGTAACTATGGATTAAAATTACCTATTGAACCTAGAGCTTTAAGCATATAGCTCAACCTTTCACAGTCTCTGCTCTTACATTGTATTAAAAGTTGATGATTTCCTTTATTTTGGTGATTTCAGCTATGGTAACTATCATGGTAATGTCTGTGAATCATCTCATTTACAGTGCAGCTGCTTTACATTTCGGAACAATTGCATTTTATAGTGTTCTCTTTTGTTTGCGATCATCAGTCAATGTTTACAGCCTTTTTGACCTTGTGATTAGCACTGTTTGCTTTTATTTTGCAAAATACCATTAATTTTGAGTTCTTAATTGCAACAAAAATAAGAACCAGATTTCAAAAATCATGCTAGTATCACACAGCTGCAATTCCTGTATTTAGAGATGTTAATGTGGGTATATGTACACCTGTATTTGCAGTTTTTCATTTCATCACTTATTTAAAATAAAGTCCTTCATCTCTGAAAGAGGGAAAAGTTCATTCCCCTCCTCCTATTCTTTCTAAACTGGGCTGCTGTTCCTGTAGTTCAATAAATAAGCGTACTGTGCAGTTATGGGACAGATTTAGTTTAGCCATGCTTGGATTTGTTCAGCTAATATGCATTTCTGGCAATGTATGGCTCACACTGACAGCACTTCAAGTGATCATTCCTTGCATTTTGTTTGCCCGATTCAGGTGTATGCATGGAAGTTTCCCTGTGGGACACAGGGAAGATGGAGGCTGATCTCTTGAAGTGCAGCTTCGGTGGTAGCGGGACTGCTGGTTTTCCACTGTGCTGTTGTACTGCATGTAAACGTGCAAGGAGTGAGGCTGCACTAGGGGCCACCCACATGTTCTGGTCTATGGCTCAAGTGTCTTATTAAGGTGTGTTATCAAAATCTGTTTTTTTTTGTTTGTTTGTTTGCATATGTTCACATAAAAGGTGTTTCTTTTTCCCTTTCCTTGCGTGTAACTGCTTGTCTAGTCATAACACAATAAATGCAAGTAGGACGTTTTAGAATTACCTATGCTTTCTTCTAACCTCCCCTGAACAATTTTGTGCTTACTTTAATAGTTTTGACTGGAGAGGGTGAGCAAACAAAATGCAAACACAAGATCGTGTTCAAATGGCACTCGTTGGCAATGTGTATTTTCATCCCCAAAATCATTCTGTGAGCAGCCATCAGAGAGCCCCGTGCCTTATTCAAAAAGATCGCATTTCCACCCAGTCTCAGCCTTGATTTAAACCTGTTTTTAGGCCTTGTCGTGACAGAGGGGGCAGAGAAATGAGGCGATGCCGGCCCCAGGCCCTTCTCCACGGCCCCCCAGGGCAGAGCGGCAGCCCAGGAAGGGCCGGGTCGCTCCTGCGTCCTGCGCCAGCCCCGAGCCTCCGTCCTCACCTCAGCGAGCGCCGCGCGGGGGCCGTGAGGCGCCTTCGCCTTCCACCGGCCCGGCCGCCTTACGGGCACTGTCAGCAAGAGCGATGGGGTCTGAGGCGGCCTCTGCTCCCTCATCGCTTGCAGCACTGAAAATACTAACGTTATTCATTAAAACAACAAATAAACACAATTTGGAAGTGCACAAATAAGGCGAGGGGTACATGGCGGGGGAAGGCGTGAGGCCGCCGCGGCGGGGTGGAGCG